TTTTTATATAGATAGGTTGAGTATTTTCTTACTTTCCTTTTTGCTCCCTTTTAAATTGTAAATTCTACACTTAAATCATTTCTTTCCTACTGCATTTTTCTATGTATTATTAGAAGCCATGCAGTGTCCTGAATCCTCTGCTGCTATACACTTTTTCCACCAAATATCCTAATTTTCACTTTTAAATTCTGCCTTCTGGCCAGCCCCAGGACAGAGAAAATTCAGCCAAATTCTTTACACTTTGTGTAAGAATAACTTTTACTCTAATTTTGATATCTTGTTCCTCATTTCTGTATGAATCTTCATTAAAGTGGCTTTTACTGTCCATCTATTTTTCTACCAGACTCGTGATCACTATCACTTAAGTAAGCTATTAGACATTTCACTATCCCTGTAGCTTGATTTTTCTTTTGATTTTGCACTGGAATTGCCCTTTGTTCTTGGCAAGTTGTGTGTGTGTGTGTGTGTGTGTGTGTGTGTGTGTGTGTGTATGTGTGTGTTTTTAAGCACTCACTTCAAACTCCTCTAGTCTCTACCCATCCATGGCCATTCCCGCATTTCTAGATACTTATTCCAGCACCACCCTACTTGTCTAGTATGAATTTTCTGTCTTAATCCTCTTTGTTCTGCTATGACAAAATGAATGAGACTGGTAACTTATAAAAAATGATTTCTCGCAGTTCTGGAAGCTGGGAAGTCTAATATCAAGGTGGTGGCCTAATATCAAGGTGAGGGCCTAATATCAAGGTGAAGGCAGGCCTTCTTGCTGTGTTGTCCTATGATGCGAACGGATGGGGGATCTGGATTTTGGTGCCACTGAAACCTGCTGATGATGGAGTGGTCCGGTCCTGTCCCACCCAGAAGGCAGATCGGCCCTCTGCCCTCCACTGGGTCACACACCAGCCTTCTCTGGAACTATGCTTACAGATACACCCAGAAGAATGCTGGATCAATTCTCTGGGTGTTCCTTAATCTCAGCAAATCGATACCTACAATCACTATCATGGTACATTATATAAAAATTGACAGCATGAATCATAAACCTACATGAAAAGCTTAAGTTGTGAAACTTCTATAAGAAATCAAAAGGTACAAACTATAAATATTTATGAAATATAATATCAAATCTATAAAATATAAAAATGAGTTTAAGTCCATTGATGATTGAAATTTCTGTACTATGAAAAATATTAAGAAAATAAAGAGACAAGCCTTAGACTAAAAAATAATTTGTAAGTTATATATCAGAGAAAGAATTTGTGTCCCAAACTCAGTAATAACCAAACAACCTAATATAAAGTGAGCACATATAAAGTTTCTTTCTGATCTCTCCCACTCTTCATCCATTTCCTATTTGAAGAGCTCTATTTCTAGTTTTTCTTTCACTTTTTTAAAAACCCCTTTATTCCTCCCTTCCTTCCCCATTTGAAAAACGATTTTCAGGCTTCCTGTTATCTATCCTTTATGTATATTTTAAATACTTGTATATAAACTTGTGTGTCTGATTAACTAAAAAAATAAACAGACAGTATCACATGCCCGATGCAATGAGAACCCTCAGACATTTATGCTGAGACAACATACTAGCATGACAGATTTCTAAGTATCAAATTGAACATACCCTTAAAATATCTAATAATCTCACTAGGATGCACATGTCAGTGATAAATTAAAAATTATGTGCTCACAATAATTTTTACCCAAATTTAAGTGAACTTATATTATGTTTTGAATAGGGGTGGTGAGAAGAGATACCTTTGACTTGTTTTTGAAATTAAAAAGTATTCTATGTTTGAACTTTTAAAAAGTCATTATATACATTATATAAAAACTGACAGCATGAATCATAGGCCTCCATGAAAAGCTTAAGTTGTGAAAATTCTATAAGAAAGCAAAAGGTACAAACTTTGTAAATATTTATGAAATATGATATCAAATCCATAAAATATAAAAATAATGAATTTAAGTCCATTGATGATTGAAACTATAAATAGTATGCTATCTGTCGGGTTTTTTAAAGATGTTATCTGTCAGGTCAAGGAAGTTACCATTTAGTTCTACTTCACTGAAAGGAATACATGTTGTGTTTTAAATGCTTTTTTTTTTTTGGAGATCTTTTGGTATAATTATATGAGTTTTCTTCTTGAGTGTTTTGACATGGTAAACGACACTAATTTTGAAATATTGAATCAATCTTATATTTCTGTTGTAAATCCCACTTAGTCTTTATGTACTATCCTTTTTATATATTGCTAAATTGACTTACTTGTGGTCTATTGATCATTTTGTGTCTATGTTCACGGGGGGTATTATTCTAAAGTTTTTTTTTTTAGAAGGTCATAATCTAGTTTTGGTATCAGTAATGTTGATGTTATGAGATGGATTGGAAGTAGTTTTTACTATCCTTTATTCTAGTAGGGTGTGTGCATAATTGGCATCACTTATTGTACAAGTGTTTGGTTGAATTTGTCATTTAAAAATATCTGGGCCTCTTTTTGCTTTCTTAGCAGCATGGTGCTTTGATAAGAATTTGGGGCTTTAGACTCAAGCAATGGAGTTAACATCTGACTTTGATTACTTCCTATGGACATTGGGCAAGTTGCTCCTTCTCATTGAGCCTCAGTTCCCTCATCTGTAAGATGGGAGATTGCAAAGAGTAAATCATAATATATGTAATGTATTACTGACTTCAAAATCCACTACAGGGTTGTGGTAATTAAAACAGTATGGTACAAAAAAAAAAAAAGACACGTTGAACGATGGAACAGAATAGAGAGCCTAACAATAATACAAATGTTTTTGCGTCAGCTGATTTTTGATGAAGGTGTTAAGAACACACACAGGCAAAAAGAAGCAGCACTTGAATAAGTGGTGATAGGAAAATTGAATATCTATATGCAGAGTAATGAAACACAACCCCTCTCACTACATGCCAAAGTCAACTCCAAGTGGATTAGAGACTTAAATATAAGAACTTCAAATATGCATTTGCTAGAAGAAAACTTAAACAAAATGCTTTGAGACATTGCATTGGGCAGAGATATTTTGGGAAGGCCTTAAGCGCACAAGGAACCAAGGCAAAATCAGAAAAATGGGGCTATATTATACTTAAATGATTCTTCACAGCAAATAAAACAGTCATTAGAATGAAGAGACAACCTACAGAATGGCAGACAGCACTTGAAAACTACATCTGTGAAGTCATTAATATCTAGAATATGTAAGGAACTCAAAAACAAAAGACCACACAACCGACTTAAAATGTGTGATTGTCCTAAATAGAATGGCCACTTGGTATACAGCAAAATATTCATCATTAATCATGAAGAAATACAAATAACTATGATATCACCCAATAAGAATAGCTGTTATCAAAAAGACTAAAGTGATGGCAAAGTTGTGGAGAAAAGGGAACCTTTGTGCATTGTTGGTGGGCATGTAAATGAATACATTCATTGTAGAAAATAATATTAAAGTTCCTCAGAAATTAAAAATAGAACTACCATATGACCTACCAATCGTACTACTTGGTATACATCCAAAGGAAATGAAATAAGGTTTTAAAGAGTTCTCTGCACGTCCTTGTTCATTGTAGAATTTATTCATAGTACTCAAGAAATGCAATCAATCTAACTTCATCAGCTGACGAGTTGTAAAGACACTGTTCTTCACATAAAAGGAATGAAAATCTATCACTTGTGACAACATAGCTAGAATGAGAGATTGTTGTATTAAATGAAATAAAGAAGGCACAGAAGGACAAGCACTACATGATTTTACTTATGTGTACATTGTACAAAAGTTGATCTTGAAGAAGTTGAAAGTAGAGTGGTAGTTACCAGACACTAAGGAGAACAGTAGGGAAGGGAGGGTAAAAAAGGTTATCCCATGGGCACTGAGTTACGGTTAGCTAGAAGCCAGCAGCTCTCTGTGTTATTGTAAAGTCAGGTGATTATGGGTAACAGCAACACACTATATAACTCAGTAAACTAGAAGAAAGGATTCTGAAGGTTTTCACTATGAAGAAATTATAAATATCTGATGAGGCAGACCTGTAACCTGATTGAAACACTAGGCAATGAATTCTTTTTTTTTTTTTTTTTTTTTTTTGGCGGAACCGGGGATTGAACTCAGGCCCTTGCGCTTGCCAGGCAAACACTTATTCTACTGATCCATCTCCCCAGCCCCGGCAATGAATTCTTGTGTCAGAACATTGTATGCTACCGCATTACTATGTACAATTTTTGTAGCTTTTTTGCCAGTTAAAAATAAAGAAGAAATGTTCATTACTCTGATTTTAATGTTACAAATTGTTAGTTGACTGAACTGTCATACTATACTCCATAAACATAGGCAATTATTATGTGTCAATTAAAAATAAAAACAAAAATAGATTGTTTTAAATGAATATGTTTTCAATATTATACTGCATATGTTTGTTATATATAATTACATACAATTTTTGCATTATTAAATAATTTAAATTTTGCTGTTATACTGTTTACCACTGTACCATTTAAAGCCTTATTTGGCAGATAATGTGACTTTATATAAAGATGCCACATAATTTCTCAGACTTTTATGGTGGCTTTTCAAATTTAACCTCTCTTTTCTTTTGATCAGATGTGGTGGTGATTGCCCTATGTTAAAATGTTATTTATTTTAGATTTATAAAGGACAACATAAAAACATAAAAACGGTTCCACAAGGCTTTCATCCTATTGCAGTCAGCAAGACTTATATTAGGTTTAAATAATGATAAACCTCATTATGCCAAAACATAAAGTGTAATGGCACAGTGCCCACACAGGATGCCCTTAGTTAACAGTGAGTGTGGCACAGAATCCTGGTGTGAGGGTGTTTCAACAGAGGCTAATGAAATAAGAGTCTTTTTCTCTGTAAAGTGAAATAATAGTTACTGGGTGCAATGTCAAAAGTTGGGGAATAATCCTAAGTCTGGAAAAACACACTAACATGCTGTCTTGTTCTCTTGCTTGTAGCTGACTTTGGCCTGGCAAAGCAAAAACAAGAAAACAGTAAGCTCACATCTGTTGTTGGAACGATCTTGTACTCTTGGTAAGGATAATTGTCCTGTGAGCCTCAGTCGTTGTATTTGACTAGAGCTGACTTTCACTTCGATTTTTAACTTGCAAAGAAAAGAAAATTTTAAGAAAGGCATATTATCTAATACATTTTCCTCAACTACCTAAATAATGTACACAAAAAGAATTATGGACCATTATGCATGTTTAAAACAACCGTCACAAAAATTACTCTTTTTTTGAAGGAAGCTTTTCTCCTCATGGGGGGACTACTTTTATAACTCTAAATTGGAGCAATCCTTGGCAAATAATTGCTGTGCAATAGTTGTTGAGTAAATTGATGAATAAACTAGTAGAAACACTATTCAACACAACACTTGGTGTGTTTTATTACATCCACTTAGGGGCACTTCCTTTTTAAAAATCTTTTATGCCTATTAACATTAAAGTCCAAGGAAAAGATTTTTATACCTTGTTGTCTGTCCTGGTACCTGGAAAGTAATAGTTACTGACTAAATTTTATTTCATGAGTGAATAAATGATGACATATATTTTGACACATGTATACAACGTGAGTTGCTTCCTGAGTAAATCTGTGATGACAAGACATTTGTGACTTTTAAAATAGTCTGGGAATTCTTTGGCAAGTTATTATCATGAAATGAGAGTCTTTTGCTAATCCCACATCATTTATCTCAGCATATTGAAATTAGGAAGCAGATATGGCTCTCTGTATAATAGCAAATATCAGAAAAATATTCTGAAATAGGATTAGAATGTGTCAAGCAGGGCCAGGGATATAGCTCAGCTGCTTAAGTGCCTGGTAAGTGCAAGATCCTGAGTTTGATCCCCTGTACCACAAAAAAAAAAAAAAAAAAAAAAAAAA